CCCTCCCCCATTTCTGAAGAAGGGTCTAGACCCGAAACGTCAGCTTTCCTGCTCCTCTGATGCTGCTTGGCCTGCTGTGTTCATCCAGCTCTACACCTTGTTGTCTCTCATTCAGCTGAGTGTCGTCTTTCCGTGTTGTGTAATTCACTGCATTTGAAAGACTTCTATTCTTAAATAGTTAACTTCCTTTATCTGGCATGAAGTCCTAATCGTGATTTATGCTCCAAAGATGTTTGCATCACTAGCCTGATCAGATTGTGCACATAAAGACAATGTCTCGGTATATTTTCTTCATATTGTTGAAATAATGTTTATCGTATTTTTCTGGTTTATCCTGTTGTATGTTCCTGTACTAAAGCAACTAATCCTTGGAGAACCGGCAGGTTCAAGATGCCTGCAGGCTCCTTGGCTTTTAGTTCACACCCTGGTACTGAAATAAAACATTGCCACATATCTAGATATTGACAGTAAGTTTTAATGCAACAGTAGTTTTATTCAACTCCAATAATTTTAGGTTTTTAAAAGAAAACTGTTCTGTATCGTCTTCTCTTCCCCAAATATTTTCTGCTACAAAAAAAGTAAAAGTTTAATTTTTAGTGAATATGTATTATCATTTAACACTTCACTATTTTTACGTTTTGGCTAATGTGTGCCTCTCTTATTGGGAGGGAACTTTCTATGTTCTTGTGTAAGTAAATAAGTCTGGTGCATACAGTAATATAAAGCGCTGGCTGTAAAGTACCTTTAGAAGGTACAGTGATAAATTTGCTGTTCTAAGTTTATTTGACGAGCCTCTTTGATTTTGTAGGTTTGGGAGCTGACAGCTAATAAAGTGATCATGGTCTCTGCAATTGGTAATGATGGCCCTCTCTATGGGTGAGTTTGGTATTCTTGACTTCAATGTTTCTGTTCAAGCATATTGCTAAAACAAAAGAAGGGTAATGGGCACCTGAGTACCCAGCACTGGGAAACAAAATGTATGGAGCTACTGTTGTTTAAGTGGACTATGTAAATTCCATGGCCAGATCTGCGTTCAGAATGGAAAGTTTCTGGCTGTGCATGATTGGTTAGTTATACAAAAATCATACTTTGGAGAACATAGAATTTTTTCTGTCTGGAACCAAGAAAATGAGCCTGTAGTTAATTGTCTGTAGATTTCATCGCTAGGTCAGAAATGAGGAAATGTGAATTTTGATCATATTTTGCACCCTAAATATGATGCAGTTAGTATAAGCACAAGGATTGTGTGGTCTGTATTCATTCTTCAGGCAGTAAATGACTCCCAATATGTTAATTATACTCCTTAAATGGCACTTTTCACAAACTCTCCTCCACCCTGTTCTCTTAATGATGCTGTAAACCTTCTCACAGCAGATGCAGTGATATTTCATTGTTATGTGATTAGAAAAAGTATTGAATAGTTTTTGAATTGGAGTTTTGAGGTGTTGAACTCAGGAGGTTTGGCAGGATTATACTAGCGGAAATGTGAATGAGGATGTTGAATGAGTCGTTATATATGACCCCACAGCATTCACAGAATATAATATGGCTGAGTTATGACTAAAAGTGGATAGCTAAAACCAGTTTGGGCCTGTGCAGTCTCACCTGCGCTTAGCAGTTGCTCCTGAGGCAGGGATTATATTTCTTTGAAATACTTGGTCTTTTTAAAGTCAGCAAAATTTTTGTCTTGCTCTTGTTCGATAATGGATAGTTTTAGACTTGCTGTAGTCTTCTGTTTAATTGTTAACATGCAAAATTAGTCTGATCATTTTGAAAATTCATTTTAATTTGCTAAAATTAAACACTTTAAAATCTGAGGTGCAAGATTGTCTCTAATCAGCACTAGTGTCATAGAGTTGCCCAGCATGGAAACAGACCCTTCGGTTCAATGTGTCCATGCCAATCCGATATCCTAAATTAATCTACTCCCATTTGCCAGCCTTTGGCCTATATCCCTCTAAACCCTTCCTATTCATATAGCTGCCCAGATGTCTTTTAAATGTTATAATTGAACCAGCCTTCACCACTACTTCTGGCAGTTCATTTCATACATGCACCATCCTCTGAGTGGAAAGAGCTGCCCTTTAGGTCCCTTTTAAATCTTTTCTGTCTCACCCTAAACCTATGCCCTCAAGTTCTGGTCTCCCCCACCCTGGGAAAAGAACCTTGGCTATTTGCCCTATCCATGCCCCTCATGATTTTATAAACCTCCATAAAGTCACTTTTCAGCCTCCACTTTAGGGAAAATAGCCCCAGCCTATTCAGCCTCTCCCTATAGCTCAAACCCTCCAACCCTGGCAACATCCTTGTAAATCTTTTCTGAACCCTTTCATGTTTCACAACATCCTTCCTGTAGCAGGGAAATCAGAATTGCACACAGTATTCAAAAAGTGGCCTAATTAATCTCCTGTACAGCCACAACATGACCTCCCAACTCCTGTATTCAGTGCTGTAACCAATAAGGGCAAGCATGCCAAATGCTGCCTTCACTATCCTATCTACCTGGGACTCCACTTTCAAGGAACTATGAACCTGTACTCCAAGGTCTCTTTGTTCAGCAATACTCCCCAGGATCTTACCGTTAAGTGTATAAGCCTTGCCCTGATTTGCCTTCACAAGATGCAGCACCTCACATTTATCTCAATTAAACTCATCTGCCACCCCTTGACCCATTGGGGCCATTATACTCTGAGGTAACCTTCTTCGCTGACCACTACATCTCCAATTTTGGTGTCCTCTACAAACTTACTAACCATATCTCCTATGTTCACATCCAAATCATTTATATGAATGACATAAAACAGCGGACCTGATCCTTGTGTCACACAGCTGGTCAAAGGCCTCCTGTGTGAAAAGCAACCCTCCACCACCACCCTTTGTCTTCTACCTTCAAGCCAATTCTCTATCCAAATGGTTAGGTTTCCCTGTATTCCATATGATCAAACCTTGCTAACCAGTCTACCATACAGAACCTTGTCAAACCCCTTACAGATCACGCACACTGCTCTGTCCTCATCAATCCTCTTTACTGCTGCTTCAAAAAACTCAATCAAGTTAGTGAGACACAATTACCCACGCACAAAGCCTAATCAGTCCTTGCCTTTCCAAGTACATGTAAGAGCTTTTTTTTTGCTTCAGGTTTCCAATCTCAATCCTCCCCAGGAGGCCTCATCTCAGCCAATTTGGTCCTACTCTCTTGGATTCCATCCCTTTAACCCTGACCCTTCTGACTAACTGAAAGCTTTTCTTATAGCCATCTGCAGGTGCAGTTTAATAACTTCTCTGTTAATTGAAGTACAGTAATTTAAGCCACCTCTGTGAAGGACAATTGGACAGTAAATTTGCAGCAAAAACAAAAAGATCTTTTACTTGTGAGGTTATAACTTCAGTAGCTACAATTAGGATAGCCTTGCTTAGTATCAGGTTTCTCAAAACATTTTGGAAGTTATTGGTTCAATTCCGCTCTGGAGAATTGAGCATATATACTGGAGTTTCAGGAAATGCTGTAATTTTGGAGGCTTTGTGTTTTGAATGAGATTTTAAAGTAAAGCTCCTTCTGTCTCATCTGAAAGGTGGGGGGTAAATTAAATATTTCAAATCTCGGAGGAGCAGGGCAGTTCTCCTGCTCTCTTGGCCACAACCAAAAACTGATTAAGGAGCATTTAATCTCTGGTATTCAGGAATATTTTACATATAGACTGGTCAGCATATTTTTGGACAATATGGATGTTCCGGCTCTTATGCTTTTGTGTGACCTGAGAATGTGCAAGATACTAAAGTGTGCATTGAAGATTTGGGTAGACATGAATGAATGATCTGTTTTGGTGCAAGTAAGCATCCAATATGGTTGACTCACAGCTGGATATCTCACACAGAATCTTCTTGTTGCTCATGGCTCTCGGAGATGGATTGTAAAATTTTCTAAGTGACTGTAGAACTATGTTGCCGTTAGGTTATTTCTTCCACAGTATGTGAAACCTGATGTCTAGCTGTCTTGTTAATGCAGTTTATAGCTAGTGCCTTCTTGGAGAAAGGCCACAACCGAAGCCTGAGGAATATCTTTTCTGGTGTAACTCCGGTATTGCTTAACCACACACAGTATCTTAACAGCGCAATGGTGATCAATTGTAAAGGATTTACGTAAATCTGTGTATGGATACTTCAGTCTTCACCACGGAATAGCTGTCACATAACAGACTGACATTACACTGTTATAAACTAGCTGTTTTATTATATTATATCAAAACTGAAGAAATTGAACCCTTAAATAATCTGTTTGTTGAAAACTTACTGTAGTCTTACTTGTTTGCAATGATTTTATTGCCCAGCACCCTCAATAATCCTGCTGATCAGATGGATGTAATTGGTGTGGGTGGAATTGACTTTGAAGACAACATGGCTCGATTCTCCTCTAGAGGAATGACAACTTGGGTAAGTTACAGCATCAATTGTATTTCACCCTCTTGCTACTTTGGATGACAGTGGAATGCTGTTGATGCCAGCTTAGCGATATATTTTTTTAAAAACATTAACCTGAATGATTAACAGTGCAAGGCTGAAGTGGAGTATCTGCAGTCTTACACAAATGCAACAGCCTTCTGTCAGTATTTGGACTTTTGCATACAAATGACCAACTCCTAGTGACTAGACTGAGTAAAAATTTCACAGGTAAGACGCATGTCTGAAGCTTTGGTGTTGTGTATGAACATTTGATTCAGTTTGTTGATCTACAGCGATACGTTGTATATTACATAAACATGAAGCTGATGTTCCAACACTATATATTTTTATTGAACTGCTCTGATCAAAATTCTACGCAGTAGGCGTTCATGAATGGCCCATTGAATAACAATGTAATATCTAGGTTTTTGCACTGCTGGGTTTCACTTTTTTGGGAAAGAATTAAAGAATTCCTCTCAAGGTGGCTTCTCTAGATCAAGTCTGGCTTTGATTTGATGCCCGTGATAAAATGATAGCTGAATGGAATATTTTATATGTTTCTGTCTTCTTTATGAATAGCAGAGTAATACATCTTGTGTGCTTCTGTTCTGCCTCTAAAGTAACTAATCTTTTGTTTTAAATGTGTACAGGATGTGACTGACATTTATTGGATCCTGTATTTGTGAAATTTTATCTGCACAACTGCTGATAGTTTTATAACAGAGCGTTGTATCCCTTCTACGACAAGGCTATAATGGAATGCTGTGCCCTAGAGTGACCTCACCCTGACATGAAGGACATTTGCATTCTATTTGATAAAAATTTCCTGTCACTAAATGTAGAACTAGATAGTGGATTAAACATTAACACTTATTCTTTGATTGCTACCAAGGCCTCCAGGTATTTTCTGCATTGGAGATGAGAGTTCTAATGTCCTGTCATTGACCTGAACATTAATTTTGTTTGTTTCTACAAATGCTGCCAAACCTGCTGAGCATTTCCATTTTTTCCCTTTTTTCTCAGTTAACTGACTCCATCCCTCTGTGTTTGTCTTCATTTTATGTTTTAAATTGCAATTCTCCAAAGATTAAGACTACTTCAAGAGCTCCTGTCGCACAAGCATAACTTAATGGGATACTGTTTTGTTTTCTAGTAGTAATGCAGGTATTTTGAAATGTTGGCACCACTTTGAGTCTTTGATTTCAGATTCAAAAAGAAAATGCTGTTATATTGAACCATTTAGTTTGAGCAGAGTATCTTTCAGAAGGCAAGACTATGACATGCTACAATGCTAACATGTCCCCTTTGACTGGAGTGTCTGTGAGCCTAAATCTTTCAGCTAAGGGGAAGTAATTCAGGGCCATGATGTTTTGTTTTTTTTTGGGAGGTGAACCTGTAACAGTGCAGGAGCTAGCCCCATCCAGCAGGTATTCTAAGTAACATTTGTTGCTTTGTTATCATTGGTCATTCAGTAATTCGGTATGTACTTGGCGATTAAAAGAACCAACTCTGACACCGGTTACTAAACTGTTTGTAACGCTTCTAGGCTTTACTTCTTTTCTCTTCATAATAACATAATTTTTCCTGAGTTTTAATATAGAGCTGAAATATAGCCAAGAGCAAAAATGTTGTATTTGTCCAGAAATATGCCATCCTGTTTGATCATTTCAGTTTGTTCTAACAGGGTTTGATACCAATATTTTTTCATCAGTTAAATTGCAGAATGTATTGAACTACTAGCCTTATATTTGATGGTCTAACATGTAATGGTATAATACAGAAATGGCAAGAGGAAAGATTGGGCTGATTAAAGATGTGTTCAATTCTTACACCAATTTAAACCATAAAATGAATCAAGCTCTGATTTGCAGTTGTTTTTCTTGGTATCAGCTGTTTGTTGTAGCAGTCTCCCCTTTGAATCCAAAACTTGAGGGCTGAAATCTTACTCCAGGACCTGAGCATGCAGTTTAGACTGATGCTACACTGCAGTGCCACATAAATTTAGATGGAGTTGAATGAAGCCCCTATCTACACACTCCGATGATGCAATTAGTCTCCCAGCAATTCCAAACAGTGAAGTTTTCCCAGTGTTCTCATAACCTAACACCATTAAAATCATTCGCCTTGTTGCATTGAGACTGACTTGACGGTCACTTTTCCTATTTGACAATTAGTACATTTTAAAAGTAACCCATTAATGTTGATCTCCTTTGGGTGTTTTGAGGAACTGCAATATATAAAATCAAGTTCTTCCTTTCCTTGGCTGAGAATGGTGTGAGGCATTTTGAATTTAGGCTTGTTCATATTGTATCAGTGTTTCTGTAAGCAACTAATATAAGTTCAACATCTGATCTAGGCTTTTGAAAGCTAACTTTAACAGTAAAGTTAATCACAACTTCAAAACTTTGCCCAATTTTTGTTTATTTCAGCACCATTAACTATTCAGTTAGGTTTCTAAAGTAAAGTTAAAAATTAAACTTTACATTGGTTGGTAGGTAATACAGTGAAAAGTATGCCAAATGGTTACTTGTACTTAAATGCACTCATTGTGCAACAATAGCCAGTTGGTAAAGTACATTTTTTAAAAAAAATTTCTGTCTCAAACTTGGTTGCATGTGTAACTTTAAGCTAACTTTTCTAACTTTAGAACTTGGGTTTCAACCACCTTAATGCCCATCTATTATTCTTTTTCTTTTTCCAAAGGAGCTTCCTGGTGGTTATGGAAGAATGAAACCGGATATTGTGACTTATGGCTCTGGTGTGCGAGGTTCTGGCATGCAGGGTGGTTGTCGCTCACTTTCGGGAACAAGTGTGGCATCTCCAGTAGTGGCAGGTGCAGTCACTCTGCTTGCAAGGTAAGTATATGGGGGTTTGGTGGGGTGGGGTAATTGAAAGATATTTGATATTCTTCGATTAAAAATGTATTTGAATTATTGGTTACATACCACTGAATGCGTCTTTGTGAGGCTTTGGAGTACAAAATAAAATCAGGATGCATTTAATTCCATTAGTATTTGGTAGCTCCATGCCACAGCATATGATATATTGTATTTTTAGGCTGAACCTGTAACAACAATGCATGTTGTTTCTTGCATTACGATAATAATATTTCAAAATTACCTAATTGCTGTGAAGTACTTGGGAATGTCCTGTGTTTGTGAAAGTCATGAAAAAATAAGTTCTTTTTCTTTTTGTGCCTTAGTTCAGATCCTTTTGTAGTCTAGCAACACATCAGTGATGTTACACGTGTGTTTCCTCCACTGAAGTTAGCTGTTTGTAAAGTTTGGTGGAAGGATTATATTTGCTCTTGTATAGAAGAAGAAAAAGAAATTGTGGAATGGAAAATAATCTATGTGCAAACTTGCTTATCGAATCATATGCCGGATGTTTGTCAAACATGGGGTATTGTAAATATTTAGGTAGTGTTTACCTACCATAAATTAGCCTGAGGTTGCAATGTGGCTTTTGTAACATTTGGGGAATGCTCATATTCTTTTAATGTATCTTGTTTTTTTTTTAATTCTTCCAAATCCTTATGGTTTTTAAGGGCCTGCAAATGCCAAAATGACGGACCAATTAAAGTTTGTCAATGAGTTAATAGTAATCAAATAAGCTAAGGGTAACTTACTGCACACTTTTTCTTTCTTGCCAAATTACCATAAACATCATTAAGCTCGAGGTGCAAGGTTGCAAAAATATCTAACGCTAATTAAATAAAGTTTGATCTGTAAAGCAAATGCTGCTTTTACTGCCTTGCATCGAAGAGAACATTCAGTGCATCAATTTGCTTGATGTGTTCTCTTGTGTTTGAGCAATAGTATTAGATTTGTCAACTGTGTAAAAATTTGAGAAAGGAGAACTTACTTCAGCCATATAATTTGTACCACTTATACACAGTATATCCAGCAGTGCAATTCCCAAACAGTGTCAGGGTCATTGTTCTCTCAACAGTCCTATGTTAATTTGTTTCTAATGGCTTTAAATTATATTGTCCATGTAAAGTTCCTTTCATTTTTATGCCTCCCATTTAATTCATTTCGCTTATCTGCGTCTTTTGTTGAAATAGTAGAATCTCTGAGATATTTGAGCTGTTTGTTAGTGTCTTTACATGCCACTTCCTAACCAGTGGCTGCAATTAGTTCTAAACCAAAGTCTATTTATTTTCTAACAGATAAGGAGAAGTATTTGATCTCTTGTTTTAACTGATCCCCCAGGAGCTCTATTTGAAGAAAGTAGATCCACTTTCTGCCATCCTGGTATCATGAGCTAGAATGCCCAGTCACTGACACACTTGTAATATGCACTTTAATTGTAAGGCTTATGTCAATTACAATTAATCTTTTAAATCAACCTGTTCACACATGCTGTGACCCCTCTGAAGCAGGCAGGCCTTGAACTTTGGTCTTCTGGCCCAGAGGTAGGATCATAATCACTGTATCAGAAGAGCCCTTCAATTATAATTATAGATATTTTAATCACCATATTCAGATACATTTCTGGGGCAGGGACACTAACTGCACCACAAGAACCCCCACATTCACAGATACTTGACTTTTGAAAGAGCCAGTTTAAAGTTTAATTGTCCTGATTAGTTAGAAGGCACATTCCAGGTTAGGAAACAAAAACAGAAATTGCTGGAAAAGTTCAGGTCCAGCAGCATATGAGAAGAGAAATCGGTGTTAATGTTTCAGGTTTACTGACCCTTCCTTGGAAGTATTACACACAGCCCATTGGTAGTCGCTAACGGTCCCAATTAATAGCTTTTCACCCTCTGAGCCAGATCATTATCGACTCTTTTGTCTGTCCAACTGTTGTTCTCTATCTTTGGGCTCTATCCCCATCTATCATTTGCTCGTTACGCCCTCACCCCACCCTACCTTCGGCGTATGAACCACCATTTTCCTAGCTACCCAGTTCTGGGGAAGGGTCACTGGACCCGAAACGTTAACTCTGATTTCTCTCCACAGATGCTGCCAGACCTGCTGAGCTTTTCCAGCAATCTGTTTTTGTTTCTGATGTACAACATCCGCAGTTCTTCCGTTTTTCCATTCCAGGTTTACATGTTGTAAAAAACCCAAAACAGATGTCCTGCATTTGACCTGGCTTCTACCTACCAAAACTGTTTAATAACTAACTGAGGCTAAATGGAATTTAATTTAATATCTCACTTGTTTAGTAAGTCAAACTTATTTTTGAAAAATAACTTAAACCTTTACTTATGCTGTTTAATTACTTAACTGAATAATTTCTAAAATTTTATCTTTTTTAATTAGCTTTATGTTCTGCTCTGTGTTTGGATGAACCACATTATAGATTGGTCAAATATAAATATTTTTAATTACTTTTAAAAATAGCTTTTCAACCTGACATTACTGTAGCGAGTCATAAGACTTTGGAGAAACATGTACCAGATTTGGGTTCAAGTTGTTACTGGTACATTATGCAACAAAATTAAGGTATAAATTCAGGAACAAGTTGCACATAACTTGTAGGTAGGTACCAGTGCAATTGATGTATTATTTCCACGCTAAAGTCATTGATTGCATCTAAGATCCCTTTAAAATTTAAGCTCTTGGAATCTTTCTTGTCTAAGATGCTTTTTTTTTTTGCTGAGTAATTCTCTACCTATTCAAGTGATGTAGTCATTTTACTGTGATCTGGTGTAGACTATGAACTCTGACCTAGTTTCTTTGAGAGACAATGGGAGAAATCTTTAACAAGCCTATTCCTGTCCACTTGAGATCAGGAATTTACAGTAAGATAAATACGGTTTTATAAGGCTGGCTCGGACCGTTCACAACATGGCCTTCTTCATGTCCACTGAAGTTTTGAAGTCTTCCAAATTGATAATATTTTTGATCCATTTGAAAATGCACTTTCAAGTTCTTTTTTAAATGATGAAGCAATACCTGTGGCATGAGAGGTGGAAAAGTTTTACTTAGTAATGAGGAAAATTGTTATCTAGTTGTTTTTATTCAATCAGTTGAATTCTGAGAGTTTCCTTTGAAAACTTACTTCTGCTTTACCAGCACTGTGCAGCACCGTGAGACTGTGAATCCGGCCAGTATGAAACAAGCCTTAATAGCTTCTGCACGCAGACTGCCTGGGGTCAACATGTTCGAACAAGGTCATGGTAAACTGGATCTGCTGAAAGCTTACCAAATTCTTAAAATCTATAAACCTCAAGCCAGGTGAGTGCTGAGATGATTCAGATGGTCTACTTTTTATTTCTCATTTCTTAACTTGAAGGTAGAGATTTTTGATTTTTGAGTACCATCAACCCTATCTTGAATACCTTGGAGTGTTCTTGAGGGTTGTTTGCTAACTTGACTTTAACAATTGAAACTAATATAGTCACGTATATTAATGTCATTCAGATCTAACTTTCCTCTAAGCACTTTGTTGTCTCTGTGCTCAGTCTACTTGTCTGCCGTGATGACTTGGATAAGTAAAAGGTGTGTCTGCATCCTCTATCACAACCTCTGCACCCTAGCCTGATGCGTACCATCTCCACAGTTGCTGCAGGAGGCCAAACCATATCACTCCATCATTGACAGTGTTTCCCTGGAATTGAACTTCAAGACGTTAATCCATAATCAAGAATGCTGATCTTTATCTCTGCAGTATCACCTGCCTCTGTCTCTGTACTGATGCAATCCATGTCCACTTTAATATCTCTCGGTTTAATGATAATGCTTTGTTTACCAGCTTTGTGTATTTCACTCTTCTAAAAACTCCCAACTTTGTTACATGTATTCTAGCCTTGCCTAGGATCCATGTCCCTTCACAGTGTATTGTTCTATTGGGGAAGCTCTGGATAGAACATAGAAAATAGAACATGGAACAGTACAGCACAGTACAGGCCCTTCGGCCCACGATGTTGTGCTGACCTATTATCCTACTAAGATCAAACTAACCTGCATATCCTTCATTTTACTATCATCCATGTGCCTATCCAAGAGTCACTTAAATGTCCCTAATGTATCTGACTCTTCGACCACCGCTGGCAGCGCATTCCACGCACTGACCACTCTGTGAAGAACCTACCTCTGACATCTCCCCTGTCCCTTCCTCCAAACACCTTAAAATTATGCCCCCTCGTGATAGCCATTTCTGCCCTGGGAAAAAGTCTCTGGCTATCCACTCTCTCTATGCCTCTCATCATCTTGTACACCTCTATCAAGTCACCTCTCATCCTCCTTTGCTCCCATGAGAAAAGCCCTAGCTCCCTCAGCCTTTCCTCATTAGACCTGCCCTCCAGTCGAGCAGCATCCTGGTAAAACTCCTCTGCACCCTCTAAAGCTTCCACATCCTTCCTATAATGACACTGCCAGCACTGAACCTGATATTCCAAGTGTGGTCTAACCAGCGTTTTATAGAGCTGCAGCATAACCTCGTGACTCTTAAACTCAATTCCCCTGACAATGAATGCCAGCACACTATATGCCTCCTTAACAACCCTATCAACTTGGGTGGCAACTTTGAGGGATCTATGGACGTGGACCCCAAGATCCCTCTGTTCCTCCACACTGCCAAGAATCTTTCCATTAACCCTGTATTCTGCATTCAAATTCAACCTTCCAAAATGAATCACATCACACTTTTCCGGGTTGATTTTCATTTGCCACTTCTTTGCCCAGCTCTGCATCCTGTCAATGTTGCAACCTACAACAGCTCTCCACACTATCCACAACTCCACCAACCTTCGTGTCTTTGGCAAACTTACTGACCCACCCTTCCACTTCCTCATTCGAGTCATTTATAAAGATTACAAAGAGCAGAGGTCCCAGAACAGATCCCTGTGGAACACCACTGGTCACCGAGCTCCAGGCTGAGTACTCTCCATCTCCCACCACCCTCTGTCTTCTATTGGACAGCCAATTCTGTATCCAGAAAGCCAAATTTCCCTGAATCCCGAGCTTGCCGTGGGGAACCTTATCAAACGCCTTGTTACAATCCATAAACACCACATCCACTGCTCTACCTTCATTAATGTGTTTTGTAACATCCTCAAAGAATTCGATAAGGCTTGTGAAGTACGACCTGCCCCCCTCAAAGCCATGCTGACTATTTCTAATCAAACTGTGCTTTTCCAAATAATCAAATACTATCTCTCAGAATCCTCTCCAATAATTTGGCCACCACAAAAGTCTGACTGACTGGTCTGTAATCCCCAGGGTTATCCCTATTCCCTTTCTTGAACAAAGGAATAACATTTGCCACCCTCCAATCATCTAGTACTACTCCAGTGGACAGTGAGGACGCAAAGATCATTGTCAAAGGCACAGCAATCTCTTCCCTCGCTTCCCGTAGTAACCTTGGGTATATCCCTTCTGGCCCAGGGGACTTATCTATCATGTTTTTCAAAATTTCTAGCACATTCTCCCTCCTAACATCAAACTGTTTGAGCGTTTCATGCTGTCCTCAGATACAGCAAGGTCCCTCTCCCTAGTGAGTACAGAAGCAAAGCATTCATTAAGGACCTCCCCTACCACCTCCGACTCCAGGCACAAGTTCCCTCCACTCTCCCTCATCGGCCCTCCCCTCACTCTGGCCATCCTCTTGTTCCTCACGTAAGTATAGAACGTCTTGGGGTTTTCCTTAATCCTACTGCCAAGGCTTTTTCATGCCCCCTTCTAGCTTTCCTAAGTCCATTCTTCAGTTCCTTCCTAGCTACCTTGTAACCCTGTAGACCCTGTCTGATCCTTGCTTCCTCAACCTTAGGTAATCTTCCTTCTTCCCCTTGACTAGATGTTCCACATGTCTTGTCTTGTCAACCAAGATTCCTTCACTTTACCATCCCTTCCTTGCCTCAGCCTATCCAGCACTTGCATCAAGTGCTCCCTAAACAACCTCCACATTTTTGCCGTGCATTTCCCAGAGAACATCTGTTCCCAATTTATGCTCACCAGTTCCTGCCTATTAGCATTGTAATTCCACCTCCCCCAATTAAATACTTTCCCATACCATCTGCTCCTAGACCTCTTCATGACTATAGTAAAGGTCAGAGAGTTGTGATCGTTCTCGCCGAACTTGAAGGTGCTTGAAGAGTAACTTCATGTTGCATGTTACGTGTCAATAGAGATTTCAAAAACTATTTGTTAAGGTGAAAATTAACCTCGGTACTTTCTGACGTGATCCTTTATAAATGCAACAATGTGGCTTCCTCCAATGGCCTTGAAATTAAAGCTCCAAATTTCTGGAGTGTTAGACAGTAAATGCTCGAATTCTGGGTTCAGATCCTGATTTCCACTCTGGAGAAACTGAATCTTGGCCTTGGGCTTCAGTTCAACAAACTGTTTGCTGCCATTTCTTTTTCGTAACACCAACGAGTAACTAAGATAACAACAGGTTATAACAAACAGGTTACATTTCTCAGATTTCAGTTGAAGAGTTCCTTTATTACCTGACTGAAGCAATTAATCAATAACTGTACTGGGTCATAAGGACATGTGTGAAATTTGATGGTTTGATTTTGATTTTCCTACGTGAAATTATTTTTCAGCTTTTTTTGCATGTGTTTTGACCTACTCCATAAAATTCATTGCCCTGTCATATTTGTTTTCCCTGGCCCCACCACCAATAAAGTCATTATTCATGTGTATGTTGAGAAATTCAGCAAGCAACCATCTTTCTGGAGGTTATCACAGAGAACTGAGTCTTGAGTCAGAGTCTGATAGTGTCATTGCTGTTTCCCTGATGCATAGCAGTTCAGTTTGGGGATTAAATCTCAAATTGGTCTTTTTCTGTGTTGCTCAGCACCTTTTCAAATACATTTACAAGCCATGAGATTGTTGATCATCCATAGTATTAAACCTTGAAGGGACCAGTTGCATCTATATGGCAATATAGTCTGTTTAAAAAAAAAAATGAATGCATTTATAACATAGCGTGCATGAAAAATTTCTCAGATAGCTGGCATCCTACATTTGAAGACATCCAGAATCTAGAGTTTCTTGACACTTAAGGGAGAATCAGACTATTTTACATTGAGCCCTGTAATCAGGTTCGCCAAAGGTCTGGACAGGCAGATAAACAAAAGATAATTGAACAAATGTGAAATCTCTGCAAACCCTGGTTTTATTCAAGCTATTGAATTTAAATTAAATCCCTTTCAAGATGCATAATTTAGTAATCTTTTTCTGATGAAGCATAATGTGATCAGATATTAGAGCTTAGTGACAGACCATTCAGATTATTGCATTTGTGTTGGCTCTTGAAGAGTAGTTGTGCTTAGTCCCACATTGCCACTTTTTGCCTGTAACTTTCAGATTGTTCTTCCTCAAACACCTGTCTGACTGCCTTCTGAAATTACTTATGGGAATAACTTCTTATACCTTTTGAGTTGTTTCCATTTCAATAACTTAGTGAAAGAAAAACTGACAACCTTCTTTGGATCTTCTGCCAGTAATTTTAAATCTGATTTAAGTTATTGACTTACTCTCAGAATGGAATATTCTGTTCTTTCATCCTGAAACCCTCTCTTAAGTCAACTTTTAACCTTCTTTCCAAAGAGACCAGTCCCAAATGACGTCCATCAACCTTGATAACACCTCTTGTATGCAACTTCCAAAACCTTTCCAATCTTTTCTGCACATTTGTACCCAGAATTGTCGACAGCCAGTTTCCAACAGTCATTTATAAAGTTCAAGCATGACCTTTTCTTGGTTTTATACTGCATTCTCAATTCATAAACTCATTAACCCACAAGGGTTTTTAACTAACTTATCAACTTGCCTTGCCAGCCTTTTAAGGATCTTGTTATCATGGCACCAAGATTTCTCTTTATGTATATATGTCATTTATGGCACTTTTTTCAATATCCATAGTCTTAAAATACATCGTTTCAGACTGATCTAAATAAACTCCATATGCTGTATTTCTGCCTGTTTCACCATTCTGTTTATGCAGTCTTGATGTCCATGAACATTTTCGTCATTCTTTGCCAAATTTTGCATTAACACAAATGTTATAATTTTTCTCACTCCAAATCTGCGTGCCATCTTACAAAAAATTAAATGGATTCAATATTAACCTTTTGAGAGTGCCACACTGCAAGCTACCTCAAAGTCTGCAACATCCAGTAAGAAGGCAAATGCTATGTTGGCCTTCATTGCAAGAAGATTTTATTTCAGGAGTAGGGATGTCTTGCTGCAGTTATGCAGGCCCTTGATGACACCACACTTGTAAT